AATTATGAATTAATATGTTCATTCAGTGTTTTTTTTTAATTATTATTGTTTTTAATATATTAAAATATTAAGTTAAAATTAGTAAGTATGTTAAGTATTATTGTAGGAATTAATTTTAAATTAATAAAGAAATATTCTTTAAAATTAGTTAATTAATTGATTTTTTAATTTTACGTTTATTTCATTTAAATTTTATAACTTTTCAATTTGAATTTATTTCATTTTCTTGAAGATATTATAATACTTTGCAATATTATTGGAATTTTTGAAAATTTATTTAAAATAATATTTACATTATCACATATATTTATTTTATAATACATTTATCATAGATATTCTAAGAGAAAGCAAAACTAAAAGAAATGATTAAAGTATCTTTTTGTTCGATCAAATTATTCGATATCGTTATCATTTAATTAAAAATTAATTAATAAGACAAATAATTTTGAGAAGTATGTAAATTATGAAATGATGAAGTTGTAAAAAAAATATCTAAAAGAAATGATCAAAGGATCATTTCGTACTAACAAATTATTCAACATCGTTATCTTTTAATTACAATTAATTAATAAGATAGAGTATTTTGAGAGTTATGTAAATTATTAATTGATCAAACTGTGAAATTATCAAATGATAATACATGATAAACAAAATTATCTCTATCATTATTACAATCATCTATTCATATTTCCTGCTAAAAGTTTAGTGAAAAATGAATGAAAAAATATATTGCATTATAATTTCTTTAATAATCGTATAAATATTTCCTTTTTAACTTTTTGTACTTTTACGAAAATATTTTTTATAATTTTCTTTGTTTTTTTAAATGAGTATATTATCATTAATTTGCATAAAATATTTAATTAAATTCATTTTAATTCTTAATCGATCAGAAAAAAAAAGGTCAAAAGGATATTTGAAATTCAAATTTGTTTTTGTCGTCATTTGCCTAATATTTCAAACATCCGAAATCATTCCATCATTTAATTTCTGCTTGCTAATGCTAATCTGCAAGTTATTCTGAGGGTTAAAAATCAGAATCGTAAGAAAAGATCCGGTAATAAAATAAAATCATATGTCGTACTTAATAAGTGTGAACGGTTTTATACACTCAAATCAATGATTATTTTTAGCCTTAATCAGTAATAGTTTGATAGAAGAAATACTAAATCATTCCATTCATTTACTTTCTGTTTGCTAATGCTAATCTGCAAGTTATTCCGGAGTTAAAAATCAGAATCGTAAAAAAGGATCCGGTAATTTAAAAAAAAAAATCATATGTCGTAGTTAATAAAGTATGAATAGTTTTTTTATACACTCTAATCAATGATTATTATTAGCTTTAATCAGTAGTAGTTTGATAGAAGTAAAGGAGTAAATAATATATTTTCGGAAAAATAATTTTTCGATAAGTTCAATTATTATCATCTTGCAAATCTGTTATCAGTTTGAAATCATTTCATATCAAAATCTTTTCTTTCCAACTCATTGTTAAACATTTTACAAATATGTTGCAAAATTTTGTTCTAAAACTGCATACTATAAAATTTTCTATATTGTTTCAAAGCACATAAATCTAGCGGAGCTATTGTTAAGAGGAAAAATTCGGGACAAGATTTAATCAGTCTGATATCAAATGATTGGATAATAAACCGTTATGACCTGAATTATTGTTCAAATTAAAGAGCCGCCGATCATTCGGGATTAAATAAATATAGTACAGGTGAAGAAGACTAGAAAGAAGAAAAAGATATGTTGTGAACAATGAAGGTATGAATGAGCAAAAGACTAATGATTTTTGTTTAGGGATTTCAAATTTGAAGAATTATTATATAAAAAGGATTCATTTCATCTTTTGTCTTATTTTTTTTTGTAATTAAAAAATTTCATTTTATTTAAAATATTATTTTTCGTTAATTAATTAAATTTTATTTTTTTTACCATTTGAAATTTTTAATTAATATTTAATTGTTTTTAATTTTTGCTGATTTAAATTTTTTTTCAAAATTTCACTTGAAATTTTTATTCTTTGAAGTTTATTTGTTAATTTAATTTGAACTCAAAATTCTTTTTGTTTTATCATTAAAAATTTTTTAGAGAGAAAAAAATTTAGGAAATGAAGAATGAAAAATGGCTAAATTACACAGGTAGAATTGAGAAAAATAAATGTGAAAGGAAGAAAGTTGATAGAGAGAGAGTGAGAGAGAGAAGAGAAAAAAGGGAGAGAAAAATGATAGAAGTGGAATTTGAAATGAAATGAAATGAAATTACAAATATTTAAAATAATCAATATAATGATAGTAGTGATATTTGAAATGAAATGAAATTAAATGAAATTAAATTACAAATATTTAAAATAATCAATATAATTAATTAATTTGAAAATTTTATTCGTTCTAGTATGGGAAAGAAATTACAATTATTTAAAATAATCAATATAATCATAGCAGTGATATTTGAAATGAAATGAAATTAAATTAAATTAAATTACAAATATTTAAAATAATCAATATAATTAATTAATTTGAAAATTTTATTCGTTCTAGTATGGGAAAGAAATTACAATTATTTAAAATAATCAATATAATCATAGCAGTGATATTTGAAATGAAATGAAATTAAATTAAATTAAATTGCAAATATTTGAAGTATTCAATACAACTAATTGAAGTAATATTTTATTCATTCTAATATGGATCAGAAATTACAAATATTTAAAATAATCAATATAACGATAGAAGTGAAATTTGAAATGAAATGAAATTAAATTACAAATATTTAAAACAATCAATATAATTAATTGATTGAATATTTTATTCATTGTAATATAGGTCAAATTAGATATGTTTGGAATTATGTATATAATAAAATTTCTTAAATGAAACAAATTTATATTCAATTTTAATTTTCAACCAATACTTATAGTTAATATATTAAAAATGGCCATGCGAAAAAATTTCACCAAACTGGAAAGAATATTAGAAAAGAGATTAATTTTAGCATTTTAATATCACTGATAAAATAATCATTTATTATCACTGATAAAATAATAGCAAATTAATATCACTAATAAAATAGTAATTTAATATCATTGATAAAATAATAATAATTTAATATCACTGATGAAATAATAGTTTATTATCACTGATAAAATAATGGCAAATTAATATCACTAATAAAATAATAGCAAATTAATATCACTGATAAAATAATAATTTAACATCACTGATAAAATATTAATAATTTTATATCACTGATAAAATAATAATTTAATATCACTGATATAGTAATAATTCAATATCACTGATAAAATAATTTAATACCACTGATAAAATAATATTATTGTTAATAATTTTATTAGTGATTTTGACATAAAAGTTTATCTATTTTCTGACGAAAATTTATAATTTTCCTAAATGATATTTTATAATCGATTGAGGATATACCAATATCACTGAGGATATATTATGATAATCGATTACGATTGATATTTCGTGATCTCAATTCTATGAATTTTGAGCTTATTTTTTTTCATAAAATTTTCCTGAACTCTTCCGCATTGAAATTATCATTTATCTGTTACCAAGAAAAGCTTATTCCTTTTCGCAATTAATTAATTAATTAATCTTTATCTATTTCGAAAAAAAGACTAATTTATCTGAATGTAAAAAAATATTTGCACTTATAAAATAAAATATAACAATTCGATCAAATTTTTAAATTTTAACATTTTTACCCTTTTAAAATTACTATTTTGCATAATTTGGCGTAGTAATTGGAGAGCGGAAAGATGAAGAAGTACTGATAAGTAGCAATAAGGAAAATATTGTATTTAAAATTTATCTGATAAAATATATACTACAAAATAATATAAAAGTATATATTTTAGTGTTTTTTTATTTATATACTAATTAGCAAATAAAACACTTAATTTCATAATTAAATATTACACAACTCTTTTTGTTTTTACATAATTTTTTCTTTATATTTAAAAGACTCAAATTTAAATTTAGTATAATAATTGGAAATGCAACAAATGAATGAAATGTGTAAAATTGTACATTTATCTATTGTTGATGAATTTCAAGGTCATTAGTATATTATCAGTTTGATATTTGTGGTTTAAGTGTGTTTGGTTGATGAATTTGCCAAACGTCTCGGACGAAGTTGATAATGATGACCTTGTTCATTTTGATCGAAATGAGCGCTTTTAATCGAATGATGAACAATTTCAACGGCTTTCATCAATAACAAAAATTTGCTTCAAATTTAATTCAATACACAATTCAGTTATCAAATAATTTAATTATATCATAATTCGTTTTAATAAAATAATTCAATTAGTAATATTAGTAAAATTCAATCGCCTTTTATTATCAGAAATTAAAAAAAATACAGTATATCATAATTATTCATAGAAAAGATTTTTATAATCATAAAAATTATCAGATTACTAATTAAAAAATTTTTTTCCTATAATTAGATTAATTTTTAAATTACCAAATTACTAATTAAATAATATTTTCCTAAAATTAAATTAATTTTTAAATTATCGAAATAAACTCGAAGATATGAAAACTTGATTGCTAAAATATTATCAAATTTTCATGGCAAACAAAAAAGTCCATAATTATTGTTGCCAAATAATTTCGAATATTTTTTCAGTAAATAATTTATATTTAAAAAAAGTTTCAATTGAAGTTTTTCTTAGTTATATTATTATTAGTATTTAATTATATTTATATTAAAATTAATTGAAACTTTTTTTTATTTAATTAAATTTATATTTTTGTTTTGTATTAAATGCAAATTTTAATTTTCATCGAAAGAAGAAATGAAGTCAATTTCCTTTTTATTACTTCTTATAATATAATTAAGTACTAATTGTAATATAATTAAATACTAATAATTTGTAATATTTTTTCTGCGATTCTTTTTCTAATAACTTTTTTCGTAGTAATTTAGAAAAGAAGAAAAAAGGATTTTTTGTTTTTGATCAAATGAAATCTGATAGTGACTTTTCATCAGTGGTAGTAAACGTATTAACATTTGGCCGGCATTGACCCCTGATGAAGTCAATCATTTCGGTCATCATTTTTCTCGATCATTCTTAGCAAAACAGAAAGTTATATTTTACAAATTCAGGGGGAGCATATTTTTTTCAACAATAATAATTTCATTCAATTTTATTTGATTTATTGATTGATTTGATATGTTCAAGTTTATTAGTGGAGAAGATTTTGAATCATAGAAGAGATTATTATCAGCAAAAATAAAGTATGATTAATTTTTGTTAAATTAAATTTTTCAGGATGATGAAATAGACGGTGAGGATACATTAAGTGGTGGTAGTGATAATAGCAAAATGAGTAAAAGAGAAGGTGGATATAAATCACTTGAAAAAGTTCGTTTATCATCATCATTACATCATCGTGATGGTACAACATTTACACCTGTATCATCATCACAACGACAAAATTACATCGAGGTATATTTACTCGCTTCTTATAATTCCCTAAAATATATCGCTTAATTTTTTTATCCATAATTCATTTCATTATTAAATTTTGATATTAAATTATTTATGAATTTGATTTTAGATTTACGACTAAATTACAAAATAGGAAATTATTGGGAATGATAATTTATTTTAATTATTCGATATCACAAAATATTTCTATTTCCGTTTTTAGGATAAAATTACAACCAAATCTAAAATTATTTATTTCTCTCTTTTTTGCTGATAAAATTTCTTTCCTAATTTACCGATATTATTAATTTTTATAATTATAAATCACTCTTATCAGTGTTTATCATTAATTTATCGGATTACTTTATTATCATCAATAAATTATCGGGTAACTTTATTATTATTATTATATATATTAATTATTTGATTTTTGTTTTTTTTGTTTTTCTGTTTATAAACTATTTATGGTTTCAAAAATTTTGATCCTATTTATTGTAACTTGGCAAAAATTATCATATAATTAATATACTATAATGAAATGATTATTAATATTAGGAACCGGAATCAGAATCATCATCATTATCAAATCGGAAAAATCGAACCGATAAAGCATTGGTACGACGTATTACAAATGAATTACAAGTAGCACAATTAGAAAAGGAAAAAATGAAAGCAAATGGTGATACTCTTAAAGTTGCATCAAAAATTAGTAAGATTTTAAAATAAAATATTTCAGATTTATTTTATATACAGTATGAAAATATTAATTAATTATCTAAAAAAGAAATCATTAATTAAAAGAATTTTTCTTACAAATTCATTTCATGGTTTTGTTTTAATCAAATTATTTTGTGTTCTAGTATGAATGTATTAATTAATTATCTAAAAAAGAAATTAATAATTAAAAATTTTTTTATCACAAATTCTTTTATTTCATGCTTTAATCAAATTATTTTATATGCTGTATGAATATATCAATTAATTATCTAAAAAAAGAAATCATTAATTAAAAAAAATGTTTTTTTCCACAAATTCTTTTATTTCATAGTTTTGCTTTAATCAAATTATTTTATGTTCTGTATGAATATCATAATTAATGATCAAAAAAAAGAAATCATTAATTAAAAAAAAATGTTTTTTTCCTTTCACAAATTCTTTTATTTCATGGTTTATTTTAATCAGGAATATTTAATCACATTAATTTTTTCCGTTTTTCATTTTCGTTTCTTCCGGTTTTTTATTTTTTTATTATATCTATAAATTTATTTTAAAATGCATTCGTTGAAAAATAATCACCACAATTTGATTTATGTTTTTCGAATCAATTATTTCCATTGGTCCAAATTTTTTATTTACCTAATTTAGGGATTGAAATCATATATAAAACAATGGAAACTTTTATTTACTTTTCTTATCATTTCTTTTTCTCTCTCTTTCTCTCTCTCTCTCTCTTTTTCTCTTTCTCTGCAAATTTATGAACAATTAATCTTGGAAAATTTTACTAACTCATTTATTTTCCATTTTATTCATTCATTCCTTCAATTCTTCTCGCTCCTTTTTTTACCGTATCATCAAATTATTAATTTTGGTTTTTTTTTTTTTACCGTATCATTAATTTTCAACAAAAGGAAAAATTTTTAAACAAACGAATACAAAATTTGATATATTACTATTCGAAAAAATAATATCCAAAAAAGCGAAAATCTTTTCGAAATATTATTAAACTACAAAATAAAAAAATTAATTCATCAAAAAAAAAAAAGAAATTATTTATGATTTTTGAAATTTTCAACAACAAATTTCATTTATTTTTTTTTTCCGTTGTTAATTTCAGGTCACAATTGATAAATTATACTGAAATAAAGCTATAAATTGTAACAATGATTTTTAAACAATGATTAAAAATTGTTTATGTTTTTCATTTTTTAAACTGTGTCAATTGTGAAGAAAATTCCATTCAACAAAAACTATGGATACAATTTATTTATCTATCATTTGTTTACTTCCACTATCCAAAATTTTCCTTCTCAAGGCCATAAATTTCAACAGGATAAATTTCTCTTCCTATTCTTTAATCACTTTGTTAGAAAAGTTAAAATAAATCGTTCGATGGGAGAATTATGGTGGAATAGAAGAGGACGTATATAAATTTTTTATTATATTTCAAATATTTGCAGCAGTTGAATTTTTAAAATATTATTATTATCGGCATGAAAAAAAAAAAATTATTTTTCAAAACAATTCTCAATTAATTTATAATTTCATCGGAAATTTTATATGTAAATTTTGCAAAATTGTTGCAATTTTATAACTTGCAACTTTTGCAAAACTGCTGCAAATTTATAACTTGCAATTTTTGCAAAACTACTGCACAACTTTTGCAAAATTACTGCAAATTTATAACTTACAATTTTTGCAAATTATGCAACTTGCTATTACTAAGCCAACAGTTCTTCTAACGGCAAATAATTACAAGCCTATTAATTGGTTTATGGTAAAGCATGATAATTCTAAAACTAAAAGAAAAGGTAAATAATTATTGATTTGAAAAAATAATTTTTTTTGTCTTTTTCTAAAAAGTAAAACAAAGGACTTGTTAAAAAATTATTTTTCATTTATTAGTAAGAAAATTATTGATTAAAAATAAAATTGAAAAATTTTTCTTTTCTAGAAGAAAGATCAGTCTATAAAATGTATGCATTTCGATTTGTTGAAGCAGGCCTACGTCGTGCACTTTGGTATTTTGGCCGATCGGTACCAACTAAAAAAGCTATATTTGTTGTATGTTATCATTCGATTTATTTTTATCACTTAATTATTTTATTTTGAAACAAAAACAAAATTATTAAATTTTTAAAACATTATATATATTCAATAATTTACATCGGATTGTTTTGTTTTTCTTTAGCTTCTAATTTTTTTTTTAAGATTATTATTATAATTATGATTGAAATAATTAATTCGTTACAAAATTATTATTATCATTTTTTAGTGTCTTCCAATAATATTTGTATTGCTATCATTAGTTGGACCAATTGTATATCGTCAACGGATCAATCTTACATTACCATTTGATACATTCGTCTCCTGTTTCAATGATCGATATCCGGCAACTGGACATAGCAATTTACGTATAACAACACACAGTATCTTATCATTTAATGGTTCTAATCCAGCGTATAATATTATTAAACGTAATTCACCGGCTGAATTTGCCGTAATTATGCGATCAAAGTGAGACTTTATCATGATTATACACTGATAGCAGATTTATTTTTTCTTTGTTTTAATTATATGAAGATTTTTAATGAAATCTTTACCAAAATTATATCTCCACGAAAATAATATATTTTCCAATTTCATTTAATAAATTACATTTTTTTCCAGAGGTCATAGTTCGATGATTACCGAAAATTCAATGAATTCATTCGGGAAATTAAGTCATTCAATAAAATCAATTGTTGTCAATTATGAACGAATGAATCTAACGGTTATATCTTCAAAAATAAAAGCATAATGATAAGAAATTTTGCCATCAAAAAATTTGCATAAATTTTTAAAAATTAATTCAAAATTAAATCAATTAAAATTTAGATCAAAAAGTGGAATATTTTAAAAGTTCTATTTGGACAACGAATTCATATGTATACAGTATCATTTACATTGCTGAAATTATATTATTTGTTAGCATCGAAAAATTTTTGCAGTAATAAATTAAACAGTGAATGATTGAGATGGAAATTAGTTTCGAATTAATTTCGAACGTTAAATTAGCTTATCATAATAATAAATGATTTATAAAGCCACTCATTGTAGTAATTTAAACATTGTAGTAATTTGTTGGTATCATTCAACAAAAAAAAATTTTATATGTTATATCACGTCTATAATAACATTCTCACGTTTATCATTTCATCATTTATTAGTTTTCAACTCAATGATTCAAAGTATTTGATGTTAGCAATTTAGTAATTTTATAATTGATAACAAATTTCCATTTCATTATATTATAACGTAAACTATCTTACGCTATCAAATTGCATACTATTTTTTAGTGATAAAAAGAAATTGAAAAGTTTAATTTCAGAAAGATACAGAAAAAAAAGAAACACGGAAATTTTCCACAATTTCGTTCAAATTCATTTATCCATTTTATCATTATTTAGTGGCCGGAAATGTGTCGTGATACATGTACCGGAAAAGATGATCCTATGCAACAAATTCTAGAAAGTGATCCAAAAACTGCACTTACTTATCCGGAAGCAATCATTACACTGAAAAATACCGGAAATATAACACGCTTATTTCTTGGACTTACCATAGGTGGTAAGTGTCGTTATCTTTTATTTATTTTAATTTTTGAACAATCTTATTTCTTAGCCAATATTTGTGACAAATTGCGCGTATCTTACCTTTCGGTGGTAAGTGCTGTTATCTTATATTTATTTTAATTTTGGAACAATCTTATTTCGTAGCCAATATTTGTGACAAATTGCGCGTATCGTAACTTTGGAAATGAATTTCAAAATTATTGAAATATACAAATTTAAACGAATAAATTTTTAATGTAAGCTTTTTTAATTTATACTTTATAATTTGTGTAATTTCAGCCATAATGTTTGAATCGTATTAAATTCAATAATTTAAACTTCTCAAAGTACAAAAGCAAAATTTCGCTTTTTCTATAAAATGTCCATTCTCCTTCTTTGTTTTAAAATAAAGCTATAAATTATGTAATTTGCTGAATTTCACGTAAATATATAATTTGCAGGTGTTGAAACAGATGCAGATGGTATTGTTACATATGCACGATCGTTAAGGACAAATTTTAAAATTAAAGAAAATTTTCGTTCAGAAATTTTGGATGAATTTTCCAAACAATTTGTTAAAAAGGTTCTAAAATTTCTCACATTTTTTTCCTTTGTTTTAACAGTAACTATTTGTTTACAAAAAAATTTTTTTTAATAATTAATGATAACAAAAAAAATTCTAAGCAAATTATTAGTTTTAATTGATAGCGATTGATATGATATCATAATAGCGATTGATAAATTCTTTGAGAGACGAAATTGTCTACGCTATCATTACGATATATTCATTATAGTTAAACATATATCATCACGTATGCTAATATTTGATGTATGACATCATTCTGTAGGGAATGTGTATCAAAATCGTAATAGCGATTGATATCATTCTTTGAGAAAAGAAATTGCTACACTATCAATATTAGATATATTTGATTATAGCTTAACATGTACCATCACGCATGCTAATATTTGACGTACGGCATCATTCTGTAGGGAATGTATATCATATCATAATAGCGATTGATATCATTCTTTGAGAAAAGAAATTGCCTACACTATCAATATTACGATATATTTCATTATAACTAAACATGTATCATCACGTATGCTAATATTTGACATCATTCATTCTGTAGGGAATGAAACGACAAAAATAGATAATACACTTCATATTATTAGATGGTCACTTCACAAATGACCATTTAATGAATGCATACCTTTTATCATGCATAACTTTCATTATTAAAAATTGTTATGGATGGCAACAACTTATCAAAAAATTTTCTTACAAATATTAATATTTGATATAATAAAATATTTTAACATTTTAATTTAGAATTAATTTAAAAAATTTTAATTAGCTTAAATTTATTTTAATCAAATTTTGTTCTATTTATTAATAGAAATAAAACTTTAACAATGTATGATAAATATTAAATTGATAAAAAATTCAAGTCGAATAAATATGAAATAATAGAGATCTAATATAATACGACTAATATGACTAATATGACTCATATGACTCATCCTAATATGACTCATCTAATATGACCTTATGACCTTTTTGAAATTTTCATAAATAAAAGCAAAAAAGCTATAGAATGATTATAGATGAATGAGAAACGAAAAGAGATAGAAAAGAATTTAAATGCTGATATCAGTTGGTGGTCATATCATGAATTTGTTAAAGAAGTCATTTCTGGTTTAGAAACAATGCATTACTTGCTAATTGCATCTGCAGCTCTTCTTATGTTTACATGCTTAACCGCAAGTTTTGGCGCAAATGGTTATCAGGTAATCATTTTTCTTTTTGGAAATAATGCTCAAAAACAAATGAACAAATTTTTTGATAACAAAAAAACAAAAAGGAATTGATTAAATCAATTATAATTTTACAACAACAAATCAGAATTATTCACGAATTTAATTAATCTCACATAGTTATTTTTAATTAATTTGTTTCCACATGTTACATAAATACTGAAGTTAATTTCATACACTAATAGATAAACATTTGAATCGATACTGAAATTAATTTCTTACGCTAATGGATAATTATCGAATTCGAATTCCATTGTGCTGTTTGTTCTTTAACAAGTCAAAAAAGTTTTGATATATTTCAAATACAAGATAAAAAGCATACCTTCATTAAGTATATTTCAAATTATAAATTCATTAATAATTAATTAAATGAAATTTTTTGTTTTTGTTTTAATTTTTATCTAACATATTATATTTATCCATTTCTTTTTTTCAAATATTATTTAGCAATCGAATTTGTCTTATCAAAAATTGTTTCATTAATTATTTTGTTAATTATTCTAGATTCAAAATTAAAAAATTAAATTTTAATCTTTTATTTTTCTTAATTTTTTGTATTCGTAAAAGAATTAATTAATAAGTTTATTTCATTAATTCATTAACAACTTTAAATCATTATTTCATTAACAATATTAATTTTATTAATTCATTAGCGAATTTAAGTATTAAATTTTGAATAATCTCTTTCTTGAAAAAAAAAGTTATAAATATTTTTATTTAATAAAAGTAATTTTTTTTTTTTTTGGTAATTCATTAACAAATTCAAATACCAAATTTTGCTATTTTATTAAATTAATTCATTAACAAATTTAAGTATTCAATTTCGAATGATTTTTTTCTTGAAAAAAAAAGAATTATGAAATATTTTTATTTAATCAAAATAATCGCACAAAATTTGCATAATTTTCTTTTGGCGACAATTTGATAGCAATATCACTTTTTTTTTTGTCTAATTATATATGAATAATTAGAAATGTTCTGGATTATGTTATAGAGTAAACCGGTTCTGGGTTTTGTAATTGGTATTATTTTGATCGTTTCATGTTTGGCCGGTTTTTTTGTTCAATTAACCGGAGTTGGATATGTTAATGCGATCGTTTTCCCAATTTTTTTCGTCCTTATCGGTATTATTTGTAAATTTCTCAAAATACAAATTAATAATTAACACTTAATCGAAATTAAAATTACATACTTTGGTATAAGTGTTTCTCTTTCATTTCAATCAATTAGGAAAGTAATAAAATATGGATAGTAAGTAGGAGTTATTCTAATAATCTATATAATGGAGAGAAAAATGGATAAACAAGAATGGATGTTTTTTATTGAAGTAAATATTCAATAATTAAAATATTGAATTAGTTTAAATAGGTTAGAAATTTAGGTTAACAAATAAAATTGATAGTGTGTTAGAAAAAAATTAGCAATTATATCCGTATATAATAAGTAAAATAGGTATTTTAATTATATCATTAACCAATTACTACTATGAATTATTTATATTATAATTATATCATTAATCAATTACTACAATGAATTATTGAAATTTGAAAAATTTCAGGTATTGGAATATTAATGCTTTTTACGTTAGAGAATACATGGTCGAAGTATTCAAATGTTGCATGTGATCCGGTTGAAAAGTTATCGTTGATTTTAAGTTGGGATGCACCATGTACCACAATTACCGCATTTATTATCATCATTACTTTTGGTAAATGTTTCTGTTATCATTTGATACACTGATATGATACTAAAATTGTTATCATTTTTAGAATAAATTTTGAAAACATTAAGAAATAATCTTTATTTTTTAATTAATGAATTATTATTGTTATATTAAAAATATATAATTAATATAAATTAAAAATTACAGAGTTCCTTTTCTTTTTTCAACTATTATAAATAATTATTGTTAAAAAAGAAGTTAATAAGATTCAGAATAAGAATCCAATTTGAGTAATTAAGTTATAGTAATTAAGTAAATAATTAAGCAAATAATCAGTAAATATTTATATTTAATTAGTTAATTAGTAATAATTAGTAAATATAAATATAGTAAATAATTAAGTTATTGGTAATCAAGTTAAAGTAATGAAATTTGATAGAATTTTAAAAGTATTTATATGTTAGGAAAAATTAATAGTATTTAGATACATTATGATTTTATCATGATTTTAAAATAATAATGCTAATAAAGTAATTGAATTCAATTTGGTATTAAATTATTTTGGAGCATTTTTTTCTTTCAAAAAATTAAAAAGAATTTCTTTTTGAAATTTAACAAACAAAAATTGTTATCAAAATAAGATTGATCGAAAATTAAAAGGATAAGATTGATAATATTCATTGATATGATTAATATCATTTTAATTGTTAATAAAATCATTCCTAATTTTATTATTTATAGAATTATTTTGTAGTATTTAAAGATTGATAATATTCACTGATGAGATTAATATCATTTTTATTTTTAATAAAATCATTTATAAGTTTTATTATTTAGAATTTTATTATTTATATTCATTTTGATGGCTTAATATTGAATTTGAAAAAACTTTGTTCTTTCTTCCTTTCCACCGAATTTCAAATTTCAAAAATCCATTTCAAAATCTTTTATTATTTTGCTTATATGAATTTTGACTTATATGAATATGAATATATGAAATGAAACTTATAAAAATATATGAAATGAAACTTATATGATTATACGAATTTTGAAGAAGGAGAAAAGATCTATTAGTATAATCGTAGATTTCTAATTTTTGAAGTATGAAATAAATCGAGGAAAATATGAATTTACTCCTTCTCAGTGCTTTGATTATTTAATAATATATAGTGCCTTGATTAATTAATAATACGTATAAATAATAAATTGAGCAATCGAAATTGGTAGTTGTATTCGAATTTGTTGCCAACAAAATCTTTTGTTTATTATTCTTGTTTTTATCTTAATCCCTTTGAAATTTCTATTTATTGAAAAATTCATATACATATGCAAATATCTTCACATCCTCATTCTATTGGTATGGAAACAAAACCGGTTGTAAAAAACGGAATTCTTTGAGATTTATGTAATAATTAATAGTTAATTATTAGATAATTTTATAAACTAATTTACATTTACACTAATTGTTATCAGTTGTTTGAAGTTGCAAATTATTCTATCTTAAGCAAATGAATACTTTGTAGTAATTACGGTATAATTTAATAATCTCTTCACTTTAAAAAAAGAAATAAAAATTTTAGTACCAATTATTTTGCTTAATAAATTTAACTTAATTTATAATTTAAAATGATATCTAAAAGCCTTAATTGTTATTTAAATTTTATATCTTATTTTCATTATTGTTCTATTATGAAATATAAAAGAATGGATGATAAAATGATAAGTAATATCAGCGGAAAATCATTAATAATGCAATCGCTATTAATTTTATTCAGACATTAGAAAGAATGTTTCATTAGATTATAAATTAATGAAATATTACAGCAGTGATCGGTTCAATGACAAAAAGTCCATATCTGCAATATATGTCATTTGTATTAGCCGCTGGTGTCGCCATTTTACTTACCTTTGCTCTCCTCTTTTTCACCGTATTCCTTTATGTTACGGGCCGTCGTGAAACCAAAGGTGTCAAGTGGTACCAGTGTTTTCGTTCCGGTGATACACATTTTGCTCGTAAGTTGTCATTTTAAACTGAAAAAAAAAATCATATGATAAAAATTTAAAATTTTCTGAAATATTTGAAAAGTATGAAATGAAAATACAAAAAAACGTCGGTATCTTTTTTTATGATCAATGATTATTGTTTATTACAATTACAATAATTAATATTATTAATTATGAGCGAAGAATTATTATTCTATATGCCTGCTTAAATCGATGAAATATTTTAAATAACAAAAAGAAAGAAATTAAAATTTTATACTTAATTATATTTTAATTATTGAAATTGTATTTTTAAAAAAAAATCAAATTAATATATTTTAATTATATTTTAAGTATTGGAATTATTACTTTAACGTATTTACGATTTCAAGCAGATATCATACAAATAAAACATCAGAGAAAAGGATGGAGAAAAGAATTATTGCATATTATAGATTGTTGAAATAAATAATTTATTTATTGTTAAAATTTGAAATGAAAAATATTGGAATTTTCATTTCAAATTTTAACAACAAATAAATTATCCATTTAATTATTAAATTTAAGTTTAAACAAAATGAAGCTAATTTTATTCAATTTATTTTTTATGTCCTTTTTCAATGCAGTACACACAGTAATCATGTACACACAGTAATCCTTTTTGCTAATACTGTTATTACAGTAATCATTATTACAGTAATAACAATATCAGCAAAAAAGTGAAATTTTTTTTAGATTAAAATTTAAATTAAAAAATATAATTTTTATTCATCGTTAATATTATTATTATTATCTTATAGCTCGAACAATTAATGAATTCAATGATCGAAGTATTGAAATGCTCCATGAAAAACTTATTGATACTAAGCCATCATTTTCTCGTGCAACTGCTGCAGCAATGGCTAATTCATATTTACGATGTCCAGTTGCATTCATTTTTGCAATCTATTTGGTACTTGCTATTTGGGGATGCAAAGATGTTCGGTATGACAAAACAAAAACAAAAACAAAAACAAATAAACAAATAAAAGTTTATTTAAAAATATTTATTTCAAAAAAAAAGATGGAATTTAAAACACAAAAAATTTTAGTATTAATTGTTTTTTTCTAATTTAAACTTTTTTTAATTAAATTAATAATATCGAATAATTTGGATAAGTTTTAAAAAAAATTTAAAGAAGAGTAAAATTTGATAATTTATTTTAGTAATTTTATTTAAGAATAGATCTGAAGGAGGAATATTTCTTATCAAAAGAAACTGAATCACGTGCATTCATTGAAAATTATCGTGTTGAATTTGGACAATATGAAGATTTTCTTGAATTAGTATTCGATGAACCAATTGATTATCTTGATCCACATCGTAAGGATGAAATTCTTGCAATACTCGAATGGCCTATTGTAAGGATTTTTTCCTTCATTTACTAGTAGAAATAAAATTGTGTAAGGATAAGATTCCTACAATGCTTAAATAGCCTATTGTGAGGCTTTTTTCCCTAAATTAATAATAAAATTAAAATTGCGTAAGGGTGAGATTGTTGCAATACTCGAATGGCCTATTACAAGGCTTTTTTCTTAATTTGTTAAGAGAAAATTAAAACTGTGTAAGGATGAGATTCCTGCAATGCTTAAATAGCCTATTGTAAGGCTTTTTTCCCTAAATTAATAATAAAATTAAAATTGCATGAGGATGAAATTCTTGCAATACTCGATTGGCCTATTGTAAGGATTTTTTCCTTCATTTATTAATAGAATTAAAATTGTATAAGGATGAAATTCTTGCATTACTCGAATAGGCCTATTACAAGGCTTTTTTCTTAATTTGTTAAGAGAAAATTAAAATTGCATAAGGATGAGATTGTTGCAATACTCGAATAGCTTATTATAGCCTATTGTAAGGCCTTTTCTCTTAATTTATTACGAAAAAATTAAAATTGTAAGATGGAAATTTTTTTTCAAATTAAAATTAAATTATTCAGGTATTGATTTATTACAATATAGTATTCACTTGTGGCTTTCTAAGTTTTTAGTTTTTTTAATTACTCTCCTCTTAATATTTATTATTTCGGTATATCATGCAATTTTTTTTCAAGCAAAATCAATTTGCAACAAAATCGATGAGTTGGTTGAAAGATTTCGTACGATTCGAAAGTACAACTATTTACGATATAAATCCGGTAAATCATTACAGGCTATTTTATTAATTCAAATAATACCTTTAATACCTTTAATAATACCTTTAAGCTATTTTATCTATTTTTTTTTTTGAGTTTTTCGATTTTGATTTATTACAAATGTATTCACATATATCTTTAAGTAATACTTACTTTTCTATTTCCCACTTTATTTTCAATCATTCGTGCATTTTTAAAAGTTAACTGGTAGAAAGCATAAAAATAGTACATTAATAGTAATTCATTAATTCAATTAAGTTATTTCATCTATTATTTTTTGAGTTTTTCGATTTCGAATTATTACAAATGTAATCACATATAACTTTTCCTCATGCATTTTTAAAAGTTAATTGGAAAAAAGAATAAAAATAGTAACTTAAATTTGAAATGAATTTTGTATCCCTTTTTAATTAAAAAAGCTTTGTATAAAAATAATTTAAATTCTAGTTTATTGTTTTTGTGAAATTTTATTCCAATATTGGAACAGCGAATAGTTTCTATAACTTTGTTTTACTAAAACAGTCCATTCATTTCCTATTTCAACTGTTTCCAAATATTCCATACTTAAATATGAATAGTCTGAAATTATTATTGTAAGTTGGATTAGATATATATGATTGCAAATAACTAGATAGAATAGTTCTAACTTAATTTATTTGTACTGATAGTGTGATAATTAAGTAATTATTATAACTAAGTCTTTTTATTATGATCATATATATATATGAATTATTATAATTATATATATATATTTAATTATATAACAGAACCATATAAATTAATGATTATAATAATCTATATGATTATAATTTATAATTAAAAAAAAATGTTTTTATAAATGATTTTAATTTCTTTTTTGAAAAAGAGAAAGAATGAAGAATTTTCTTTAATTCTTCTTTTTAAGGATACATTTGTGCCAATTATTGCTATTGTTTTTTTGTCAGCTGAAAATTACAAGAAATATCGAAATGATATAATTTTTGATAAATTTCAAACACGTATCATCGGATCAAGAATGTATATTGAATTAACAGCTAAAGGTGTTCAAAAACGGTTAGTTGCTAAATTGCAAGAAATATTAGTGCTATTAATTTCTGATTATTTTGTATTATATTATATTAGCATTAATGTTTGTAATATTAGTATAAGTAATAGTATAAGTAAAAATAACATAAATTAGTACTATAAATTTTTTTTAGCAAAAAAACTTTTATATTATAAATTGCAGATTATCTGTTATTAATGAATTGTTGAACAAGGCTCGTTCAGCTGGCATATCAATGTTTGTGAAGACACCATTTATTTTTGCCATTCAGCATGACTTACAGGTATATATTACATATTGAATAATTTACAGGTATATAAATCTCTCGCAAATATTATTATGATATAGCAAAATGATACCATAATAATACCGTAATAATACCATACTACAACGTATAACAATAGATAATTGGTCGATAATATTATTTACAAATTTAACAGCCATTTTAGATAATGTCAACAGTAATCGTAGCATTCAGCCTACTTCTTTGCTGTGTTTGTACCTTATCGCTATTCCTTTTTGGGATACCATCCTTAACGATACTAGTATTATTATGTAATCTCTCAGTTATTATTGGTGTCATTGGTTTTGCAACTTATTGGATGATTCCAATTAATGCCATTACCTTATTTATGGCTTTGGCTGGTTTGTTATTTCCTAATTAATTTTGATATAAAAAAAATTTGAGATATTTGCAATTTTAAAACTTATTAATTAAGTGTGGAATAAAATTAAAATAATTTAAATTCCATCGATTTAAAATGAACGATCAATTATTGATCATCCATAATTGTTAAATTTAATATACCGGAAATTTTTATAATTGTAACGCATTCTTTACCCACATTATCATTATCACTCACATTATCAGCAATTTATGTTATTTCTCATTTTTTAATCACTACCTTTTATCAATTCTCATTGATTAGAAATGAAAATTCAGGAAATGCTTTAACAACTACAATTGTTTCCTATTTTTGTTATAATTTTGCAACTGCCGGTAAAAGGCAAAAAACTGGCGAACAACGAGTACGCTATGCTTTTCAGGTTTAAATAATTATTTTCATCCGTTTTTCATTTATTATTATTATTAATTATTATTTATTATTTACTATTTTATTATTATTATTTATTATTTACTATTTTATTATTATTATTTACTATTTACTATTTTATTATTATTATTATTATTATTATTATTATTCATTATTTATTATTTATCATTTTAATATTATTATATTATCATTATTATTATTAATCATTAATTATTAATTATTATTAACTATTATAGTTTTATTTCATCCCAAAAATTAAAAACTTTTAATTATTCAAGTTAAGAATAAATTTGAAAAATTTCCCTGTAAATTGTAAAAGGAATGATTAAAGAAATATAAAATATAATTCATTCTTAATTTTTTTGTTTAAATTTCCTTAATTAAAATTTTTAAATAAAATTTGTCACATTTAAATGAAAAATTTATTTGCGTAAAGAAATATTTTTTCAGTCATGTTTATTTCCAATAACATTGGCATGTTTTGTACCAGTGATAACATATTTACCACTACTATTAGCTGGATTACCTGTAATGATGCATATCTTTAAGATATTATTACTCTCATCATTTATCACTTATATTCATTTATTACTTTTCCTGCCAAAGTAAGTAATGATAATTTTGATAACATTAATAGTTATGATAAATATATTAATGCCTACTATCATTTATCATTAATTGTTTGTATTTTTTTTAAGAAAGAAAAATGAATGTGATAAGATAATATCGAGATAATCTCTTTAGCTTTTCAGCTTTATCAGATATGTGTGAAATATTTGTGATGATTTTTGTAATATGTTAAAATAATTAGAAGTTGTGGAAAATATTTTGAAATTTAATTCTACATTCATTTTTGATTATTTCATCATTCATCAAAATAGTTGTAAAGCAGTTTTCAATAAAATGAACATTAGTTTAATTTAATTTGTAATAAAATTTAATTTGTCAATTTAATTAACCTGAAATGATTTGAAATATATTTTTAATTTTTTGTTAGTAAAATAAATTAATATTTAATGAAATTTTCATTGTTTTAGTGTGATGATATTTCTCACCGAGCAAATTCCATCATTTTTCTCATCACTACAAGATATTTGCGACGAATGTTGTTGCTATTGTTTTGATATTGAAGAAGATTCCGGTAGCATTTATTACATACCAACCGGAGGTCGTGCAAATCCACAGCTTAATGGCTTAACGAAGTTTGCCCTTTCAATTAATTTATTAAGCTTGATTAATTTATTAAAGCAAAATAAAAAGAATAAAAATGATGTGAATCAAAGATTGACGCACATGATAACTTAGGTTTAACGATTGATAGAGAGCAATATGGATTGATTGGAAAGTTAAGCAAAAAATTAGAATAATAAAACTAGCATTCAAATGGTCGATTATGTGATTACAAGTACCAGATAGAACTATAGGTAACGGACTCTGTATAAATTAGAACTTTGATCACACTGATCAAGATTTGTTCTTTCAAGGTTGTAAAAAATTAGTCATTTATTTAATTAAAAAGTAAACAATCGATCATTACGATATTCCGATTATTGAGAATTGAAGAGCTAAATTTTAGTGATTGCATAATTACTGTTTCTAGGCAATATTCATATGCGTTAACAGTACCACCAACTACTCGTGGTATTTTGCTACCACCTGAAGTAACGGGTTATTTACCAGTAACTGCAACAGTTGCTCCAGTCTTAGTTCCTGATATGCTTTCCTATCAACCGAATCCAATTGTTAGTATTGAAAATTATCGATCAACTAAAAATCGACGTCATGAAAATAGCGAGGTTAACTTTTTTGTTGGTCTTGCCTAATAAATTGGAATATTGTTTAATGAAATAAACTGAAATTACTGATACGATTAAATAAATAAGCTTTAAAATGCTCATCATTGATTGGGAATGTTCGTTATATAATATCACAATCGATACTTATAAACTTGAAGTATAATAAAAGTTAAATTTGCAACTTGTGTTGCGATTTCAGAATGATATTCTCAAAACTTTTATCCCGCCGTCCTCATTTACTATTCTAGTTTATATTGCGAAAGTTATTTGCCAAGTTTTAAATTTAATTTTTAATTATTTTTTATCCACTTCCTTTTTTTTACAGAAATCTCTTAGTCTATCATCATCACCACGAGTAACCCTATCTAATCGACAAACACCACGACGAGAACGTCGACGATTAACCACCGAGGATCATTCACCAAATGATGAATCGATCTATGAGGAACCACCATCATTAGTAATTTATAATATTAAATTATCTTCCTATGATATGAAGAAATTTTAGCAATTTTCTCAATTAATACTTTTTTAATTTTTCACAAAATTCCCTATTAAATTATTCACTAAAAATGAAATTAAAATTGTAATTAATACTTTTTTAATTTTTCAAAGATCTCCTAATTAATTAAAATTATTCAAATAAGAAATAAAATTGAATTGTATGTTTTGATGAAAATTTCAGTCATCAAATTTACCGGATTCACATTCACCAATGCAATCACAACATTATGAAGGACGAAAACCAGAAAGGCGACAATCTCATTCATCTACCTCACGATATATTTTACGTGATGAACGTTCAACGGTTGATTCAACTTCTAAATTTTTTCCTTTACTGCAATATTTGCTTTCCTTCTGCAAAAATATTGAAATGATTTTAATTGAATGGTTTTTTTTTCTTGAGTGAAAAATTTAAACAAAATAATTTACAAATAATTTACATGAAAATTGCTAATAAGCTAAAATTGAAATGATATAATCAATCAATAATGCTATTGTTTAATATAGGAACGTGATTCGGCAATTGAACTACGTTCTAATTGGAAACAATACTTGATTGATGGTAATTTACGTCAGGCTACCGGTGTTGCTGTTTCAACTTCTTCATCTTCCACACCTCAACCAATGATTTACTACTCAACACCTTCCTATCGAACACAACCGCCACGTTATAGTCGTGATAAAAGATTTTAAGATTTTAAATAAATAATGAAATTCATCAATTTTAAAAATAATTATTTATTATAGTTTATTATTAATATAATTGCTTATTTTCATTTCAAAACAATTCATTTCTTTAATTACTGTCAATATTGTCGGTTTTTTTTGTGGTATTCTCAGGTTATTATGAAATTTCCGGATCTTTGGCACAAAACGGATCCAATCTTAAATTGCTTCATATAAAAATGTCATTGTGGTTGCACATTGTAAGAAGCGAAGATTGTAGGTATATTAAAAGTAAATGTGATATTAGATATTTCGGTAGTGCCAAAATATCCCTATTTGGTTCATACCATACCTTGATACTATATATAACTTACCTAGCAAATGATCTTGGTGATAATTAATTTATTCCACTCTTACTACATAGCATTAAAATTTACTCATCATTTTTTTGAAAATTCTCGATAGTATGCTAAAAATTCAAAAGTTTTATTAGAACAAAGGTATAATTACCTCAACGATATCTTCACCGTTACATTAAAAGCAAATAGTTTCAACTTATAGATCGGTAAATTTCAATGGAAATAATTTCCATTGAAATTTAATAATGAATGAGTCATTCGTGATGATTTTATTCCTTGCATTAAAATTATGAAATTTTTTTTTGATATAATTAGCAATAATATTATTGCCAATTTAAGTGTTTGCATATTTATTTTTAAAATGTAAAACAATAGCTTTTTTTTAATTATTTTAATTCATTGCATATTTATTGTTTGTTATTTTTTTTATTCGAATAATTTCTATTTTTATTTGTCGTTTCTTTTTTGTAGTTGACAGCGTTATGGAAGAGACAATTATAATTTGCTCATTTGTTGCTGATATTGCCATTTGCTTACTATTTATGATAATGTATTTTATATTATATGTATGATGAATTTAACATTTTTATAATAAAACATAATTCATCCATTCGATGATTTATCGTGGAAGAAGATATCATACTTCACATTTACATTAATGTTGCGTGGAAGATACCATTTCTTCTTATTACTGCTTTTACGTGAAGGTACCATTACTCAATCCTTATTTATTGTTTTTATGTGGAAGTTACCATTATTCACTTCACATTTGCTGCTATATGTGGGAGGTACCATACATCACTCCTCACACTGCTTTTACGTGGAAGGTATCACTACTCCTTATTTACTACTTTTGCGCAGAATATAACCATTTCTCATTTCTTGTTTACTGCTTTTACGTGGAAGATATCATTACTCACTCCTCATTTATTGCTTTTACGTGGAAGGTACCATTACCTACTTCTCATTTACCGCTTTGGCGTGGAACGCAAATTTTCATACCATTTATTTTATCTCTTGTCCATTTCATTGGTTACTTATGTATTTAAACTTTACATCATCTATCTTATCTCTTTCCACATTAGGATTATTTTCATTCTTTAGTTCACAGCGACAATCAAATCATTGAATAAATCAACAACTTTGAACAATAATAATTAGTGTTATTAATTGGATGGCTGTCACTCAATTCAACATTGTTATTGCAAAGGGATGGTATAATATCTAAAAAAAAGTTGGTGGGAAATTACTATTTGCTCCCTGTTAATCCAAAAAGTTCAATTCAAATTTGTTGAATTCAACGAAATAAATAAGTAGTAAATAAGTTTGGAATTGAAGGAGTTAATGGAGAGCTGACGATACTGGCTTATAAACAAGAAAAACAATCAATTTAATGTTTCATCAACAAAAGATAGAACTTCTTTAGCAAAACGGGAGAGCTCGCAGAACAGTTTCAAAAAATGATTTCTGTAAATCTATTTAATTAATACAAAAAAGAAACTTATTGACATTACTATGCATTGAAAATTAATTGAACGATTGGTGTAAGCATTTTCATAGTAAAACCAGACATATATCCTACAGATGAAAACAATTTCACAATCTTCGTAAATAAATAAACCAGACATGTCCTTTGACGAAAACAATTTCATTAGTCTCAATTTTCGTAATAAATAAACCAGACATATCCTCTGATGAAAACAATTTCATTAGTCTCAATAAAATAAAGAATCTAATTTCAGTATCTACAAGTGCACAAAGAAATATCCATCAAACAAATTTTCGTTTCGCTATAAATTTCAAATTTTTCCTTTCGATACATCTAATACATCTAATCGATACTACATCTTTCGACACATTTAATTTTCTTCACTTGAAAGTATAGGAAATCCGAAATCATCATATAATACAGAATTACTTATATAATTAAATAACGAATCTAATTTGGTATCAACAAGTGAACATGAAATATTCATGAAACAAATTTCCGTTTCGCTAGAAACTTCATACTTTTCCTTTCGATACATCTAATTTTCTTCACTTGAAGGTATCAAAAATCCGAAATTATATAATATAGTATAATATAGAATTATAGAATTATATAATTAAAGGAAGTTATAGTAAATCCATAGGTATAGCGTAGTTTCTCTTATTTTGAAACCTTAGTAGAAAATGGAAAAAAAGATTGAATTGAATTAATTCAAATTTCATTTTGATAACAATCAATAAAATTGATATTATGAAAATGCTTACAACAATTGTTCAATTAATTTCCAATACATAATAAAAATCATTAAGTTCTTTTTATGCTAATTTAGTAAATTTATAGAATTCATTTTTTAACTGTTCTGCCAGCTCATCCTTTTTGCTAAAGAAGTTCGATCCTTTGTTAACGAAAGATTGGATTATTTGTTTCTTATCTATGAGCTGGCATTAATTCCATTAATTTCAACTTTTATTTATTATTCCTTTTTTGAATTCAACAAATTTGAATTGAATCTTTTAGATCAACACGAATAGTAATATCCCTTTAATTCTTAAAGATATTATATCATCCCTTTGCAATAGCAATATTGGATTATTTAAGTGACAACCATTCAATTAATGATAATAATAATTCGTTCAAATTTTTACAACTTAGCGTAATACATCAAAGACATTTGATAATCCTTTGATATAATCTGATTCATTTATTACGATGATTGTAAGTGAGAATTTTGAATTCTCATATTTCGATTTTCAATTTTATTTCATAATTAATTTCTTGTTAATTTAAGCGATTTATTAATTTATGATTTTCATTTTTTCTTCAAAAATTAATTTCGTGTAAAATTTAAACAATTTGCTAATTTCTTTATTATGCAACTTACCTGTATGCATCACTATGATTCCTTCGGTAATTTTAGGCATATCAAAATTGAAAAATATTTCAATCTCTTTCATTAAGGAATGAAAAGAGTCTCTTACCTCGTCGGCTCCATTGTTTTATTACTCGGAATTATCAGTTAGTTGATTAGTATTGATTAATGATTGATTCAGATGATGGATAGATAATAAACAGCAATGATTAGTAATAAATATAACAAAGAGTTACTTAATTATTGATAAATATGATAATATATAATTATGATAATAAAATAAATACAAATAATTTCATTTACTATTATAGTTTAGTTTATGAAATGAATGAAATAAAATACTGATATGGCAAATTTTTGAAGATTAGGGGAGAAGAAAAATTACTAAATCTCAAATGAATAAGAATATCAATCATTAATTTTTATCATTTATCATTTTCATGCATAAATTATCAGCATTAGTTGGAATATTCAAGATGAAATGATTAGAAGAGGAGAAAAGAAGTTACTAAATCTCAAATGTATCAGAATATCAATCTTTAATTTTTATCATTTATCATTTTCATGCATAAATTATCAGTATTAGTAGAAATATTCAAGATGAATCAAAGATTAGATATCATGAAAATTTTGATTTGAATAAACAAAATAAAGTAAAATTTAACAGTTTTAATCAATCAAACAAAAAAAATGTGAGGAAAAATTTATTTAAAGAATAAATAATATTTTGAGTAATTTTATTAAATCGAATAAGATTTAGCAGAAATTTTAAAGCAAATAAAGTTTAAATCGATAAAATTCTAACTTCTAATAAATTAATAATTTAGTAAAATTTTAATAAATAATTTTATATACAATTATAGTTAACAATAATAAATTATACAATCATTTTTCTCATTATATGATATGATTATTGATAAAAATTATGTTGCATATTGACTGCATACAACCAAAATTTGTTTATATACAATTATAGTTAACACTAATAAATTATACAATCATTTTTCTCATTATATGATATGATTGTTAGTAAAAACTATGTTGCATATTAATTGCATGCAACCAAATTTGTATAATAATTTTATCAATTATCTTATTCATCTTCTTTAAAACAATATTAGTGAATGTTAATTGAAAATAATTTTTCATACATTATAAGGGCTTATTTTGAGTACTTAATAGAATTCAATGATTAATATTGTATGCATAATTTGATAACGATAAATTTGGAATAATAGTTTATAATTAATTAAGTCCGTATACGGATAGGTTTAAGCTTATTAATTCACAATCAATGTAGCTTAGAATTAGTTTAAAATTTTCAATTGCACGATTAAATAATTACTTAAATTTAGCATTTCATACATTTAAACATTTCCATTCTTATGAGTGTGTAAAAAATTGAACTTCAAATTTATTGAAATGTATTAACTATTTACTAATTTTCTTTAATACTAAATTTTTCAAAAAATTTAAAAACGAATGAAAAGTTTTTAATTTCATTAATTATTTCTAATTTGTTGTGTTTTTAATTTGTACATAAGATTTAGATGTAAATCAAACGCAATTTCAAATATAATATCAAATTTTAATTTCGTCATTATTATTATTAAACAGAAATACACAGGTGAAACCGGAAATAAACGGAGTACTGTATCAGGAAATGTAATATATCAAAATATATGTGCAACAAAATAATGCGCTTTATTAAAATGGAGAAAAGAAAAAATGACGGAGATTCAAATAATGTGATGATCACATATGCACACACATACACGCGCACACGTAAACACACACGTAAAAACACACACGTACACACTCACAAATACTAATAATATTAATTAATTGATGGCGAAATTATTTACTATACATGAAATTTCTCTATTTTCAAATTTGGAATTATTCAAAAAATCATTCGAATATCGTAAACGATTATTGTAAAGATGTTTCATGATAAATATGACAATTTTTTACAAATTATATTGTAAATATTGAATTTTGTGAGCGGTAAATGTAAAAGAGATAAAAATAAATAAAAGGTGAAGAAATGAAACAAATAAATAAATAATTACAATTTAGGTTCATACCTATGAAATAATTTATTTTAGGTTTCAAAAAAGAAAATCGCTCTTTTGAAAATTTTTAATTTCTCACGAAAAGAGATAAATAAAACTAATTTAAAAATTATTTCATAAAATTAACTTATTATCGAAAATTTAAAAAAAGGAATATTTTAATTGGCATAATTTGTCACATTTGTAATTATTACAAATTGGATAACGAAACAATTTTTTTCCATATATAGCTGCTCCGGAATTGTCAAAATTACGATTTGGATGATATTACGATAGCTTAATCCGGAAAGAAAAAAAACGATTGAAATGAGATAAATGAAATACATAACAGGAAAGAAGAAGAAAAAATCGTTTTTCGTAAAATTAATCGATAACAAGATCGGATAAATGAATTAATTAATTAATTCATATTGTTTATTTTCATTTATGTCAACAAAAAGAAAATTCCGGAAAATGAAAATTAAGAAAACATATACAAAATCAACAAAATTAGGAGCAAATGACAGTGTGAGAATGGTTATTTTCTTTTGGCGTAAAACGGAAAAAACAAAACGGAAAAATTCAATGAAAAAACAAAAGGAAAAAATTTGATGAAAAATTAATTAAAAATTGAAAATAAAGCACAAGAAAAAAAAAAGAGCATTTAAAGCCAACTGGCAATAATGATATCAATATAATATTTGTGAGCTTTAACTCTTGGAAATTATAAATTGAAGAAAAATGATTAATCAAAAGAAACAAAAAGAGAATTAATCAATAATTCATATCTTTCATTATACTAAACAAATTGAAATGATTTTTCTTTTTTAGAAGATAATTTTAACAGCTTTAACATTAATTTACCATAGCTTCACTAATGCAAAGATGATAATTTAGGAAAACAAAAAATTTCCAATAATTAATTATTTGTTAATTAATATTGTTAAAATATTATAAATATAAATAAAGGAAATATAATTTAAAAAAATGATAATAATGATAATTCAAAAACACAGAAATGAAATGGTTAAACTTTTTTGATTTCCTTTATTTTAATTCATTTCATTTTATCATAATATCTCATGAGAGACAATTTTATCATTTCGTTTGTTATCAATAAATAATTAATTAGATATATAAACTATAAAATAAACAAACAGTAATATGTAGACTGATTGTTCTTAATATATTCATTATAATAAGCTCAAAAGATTTTCTTGTAAGCACTAGTAAAGTTATGGTTTCAATTAAAGCATATTAATATCATATTATACATAAGTGTATATGTATATAAAACCTTCGAAACTTAATATCAATTAATTAAGTTATAGCGCTTTAATTAATGGAAACAAATATTAAAGGATAGATGAATCAATGGTACTATTATAATGTAATGGAATGCAATAATAGTAAAACAAAATGGATTTTGCCTTTTGTTTTCATTTTTCTTGTTAAAATGTGAATTTAAAATAATTATAAGTCATAATTAATTAATTTTTTTTGGAATACTTTAATTAATAAAAATTTGAAATTAAAAATTTTTTTCGCAATCTTTAAAATTAATTGAATTTTATCAAAATTTAGTACTTTGATATGCAAAGATAAAAAATGATAAGGCTTGCAAAAAATCTTTCCATTCTCTCTTGTTTATTTCATTCGTTGCTTTTTCATCATCTAATTCTTCTCTAACACTGATAAGATTAGTAAATGATATATATTTCTATTGTACAATTAAATATTTTCATTTTTTAAAACGAAAAGAAATAAGTGATAAATTTTTGGTGGAAAACTTTTCACAGATAGCTTTCTATTTTTTCATTCATTCTACTATTCAAAAAAAAAGAGTTTACAAAAATTTTTGGTCCAACTTTTCCAATTTAACTTTTAATTATTATTTTAATTATTACGAAGTATCGAAGGTTTTCATTTTTCAATTTTAGGAATAGGCAATTTCATTTCAATTCAAAATATATGAAAGTATTTTACAATGATTGGTCACTATGAAAAATTTTTTGGATATTTAAATTTTTGAATGAAAAAATGATACCCATAATTGTTAAAATATTAACTGCCATAAATTTAAATTTTAAAAATATTGAAAAGGAATGAGAAATAACAAAAATTCTCAGTAATTATTTGATCGCTAATAATTTTCTCTCCTTTTTCCTTTTCTGTCTTTACTTTCAAACGTGGAAAAATTTAATTTTTTGCATAAATCTACAATTGTTTTAAAAAAACGAATATTAAAATGAGTAAAAAGAAGAAGAAAAAGTCGAGGATATATTGAGGAAGATTTTATAATTCGTTAAATTTTTTTTAAAAAAACTAATTTAGAAATGGATTTCGTATCGTAAAAAAAATATGGAAATTTGCAATAATGCACGTAATTGATAATTTAAAAAGAAAGAATGAGAAAAAGAAGTTGGAGTAATTCCAGTATTTTGTTTTTTAAATTTACTGTAATTGAAAATGATGAAAAAGTTTGTTATATTTCTGTTGCTAAAAAAAGTGCTTAAAATATTTCCACTTTTATTTTCAATCTTTCTTCTTTCTTTCTTTCTATCTCTCTCCCTCTCTCTCTTTTTTCCTTTTGTTTTCTTTCTGAATGAAATATAAAATTATTTGGTCAATTAGTAAAACTAAAAATTTAAAAAAATCGAAATTAACAAATTAATTAATTGTTTTAAATTAAAATTGCGTTAGATGAAATTTAGCTAAATATAAGACAAATATTTCATGCGTTAGATAAAATTCAAACTAAAATATAAGACAGAAATATTTCATAGAACAAATAATAATGGAATAAAAAATAATTAATTAAAATATTTTAAACGATTTAAAAATAATAATAATAATATAATCGATGCTCTATCTTTTAACATTTACTTTATAGGGAAAGAAAATTTTCCCATATCATTAATCACTAACTCAGGAAGAGAAGGTAAAGCGAAAAAGAACAAAGCACCTGATAAAAAAAATAATAATGATAATGATAATAATAATAATACACTGCAATTTATATCATCTTCATTGTCGCTAAGCGACAACTTTTATCCTAAATATTGCCAATTTTTCCTGCATTTGATTTTGTTTTTTTTTTTCCGTCTGAGATATACCGTAATTCGTCTGAGATAGATCAAATTCATTGTTTTCAGCAATTTTCCATCTTACTGTTTATTTTGCCATAATTGCTCCTTATATGCATGAGCACGTCTTAATTCAAGCTCTTGACGTCGTCGTTGTCGTTGTCTTTCCTCCCGCTCCAAACGGCTTTTCCTTCGTCTTCTCCTATTATAGAAATTAAAAAAATAAGATCAATCTTTTTATAAAAATTAATAAAGAATCAATCAATATTTCCTATCTTTTATTATTATATCAAATTTAATAAATAAAAAAAAAAAATCAATATTTCCTATCTTTCATTATTATATCAAATTTGAGCAAATAAAATAATTATGTTGAATTATTGCTATAATGTTGAGTATCATTAATACCTTTGAATATCTTGCCTTTCTTCACGTGACATTTTACGATTTCCATCATTTGCACGTCGTTGAGCTGCGATCCATCGTGCCATTTCAATTGGAGAATATTGCCTAGTAAGCGGTATTTTTGGAGGATGCTGTTGTAGTGTACCCGGTAAAATATCATCTAAACTTTTCGGAAGCGGTGGCTTATCATGATCACGATCATGAGTATAGTGTGTTAGATAATCTATAAAACAAGTTATATTTTGCTGAGAATTTAATTAATGAGTGATCAAATAATTAATATCTATTGATGTTAATAACATAGATGTATTGATAATTTTTTAAAATTTTCTTTTGATGACAAAAATGATTTCGAGTTAATAAGTATAATTATGATTACGATTAAAATGCTTATGTTATCATAATCAGATAAAATCTATGAAATGATAAATTACTAAATAAATTTAATCTGAAATAAAATTTATCAAATAATAGAAAAATGAAAGTTTGATAATTTACCATAACGATTCGGATGGATGATTCGTGTTTTCGAATAACGGATAGGTGAACTATGAATACCGGAATATGAGTAACCATCCAGATTACTATTATCCGGATCATTATCAAAGTGTACAACAAGAAAATGTGACGATTTCCGACGTTTACGAGAATATTTACCTGTAAATTAAAAAATAATTATATTCATTGAAAATTACACACGTATAAAAAATAAACACAAATTTAATGTTTTGTTTAAAAAAAAATAAAATAAAATAAAAAATTAAAAGAAGTCAAATTTAAATGCAAAATAAAAAAGATAATTTCATCATTATATTTGAGTGTGATAAATTTATCGAATTGAAATTTCATTTAATTATTTAATTAGAATTTTAATTTTAAGTGATGACAATTCAAACGAAACAATAAAATATACTGTAGCTTATAATAATGCTAATATATTCTTTTCATGTTTTCCATTTTAAAAATAAACTTTCTGTTTTTTTAATAATTCAATTCCGGAAATGCTATACGGTTATTTTAATCTAATTTAATTTCAAATAATACAATCCGAAATTAATCGAATTATTTGTTTAGAGAAAAATGAAGTAGATAGATTTTAGTATGTGTTATGCAAAATGAATAACAATTATCACTATTATCATTGCAATTATTGTATGATTATAATTATCAGTGTTATTATAAATGAATTGCATTGCTAATAACAGCAATCGTAATAACGATTAGGTGAAGTGATAAAAATGATAATAATGATAGCAGATAAAGCAAGCAACAATTTTAACAAAAAGCTTCATGCGTAATATTTGAAGGCATACAAAATATGTTAAGAATGATCATGCTTGTAAAATTTTGAAATTTTGCTAAGCCATAATGCCAAAAGTTTGAAATTAAAATGGGAAATGTTAAACATGCTTTAAATCAATGGATATCATTTAAGCTTTTTTCATTTTAGCAATTCATACCATTTTTTGGGAAGTCGTTTCCTAAATTGTAAAAATATAAACAATAATAATAATGATAATGTTAATAATTCCTGCTATTATTATTGACGATAATAAAGACAACAATAAAAGTAGTGGTATAAATAATAACAATAATAGTACTAATAATAATAATGAATAATAATAACGATATAAGCAATAATAATAGTAATGATAATGATAACAGAAATGACGAACGATCATCTATTTTTTATAAGAAATAAAATTGAGAAATCAAAAAAAAGTCTTTTTTCTTCATGGTAATCATGATTATGCTAATCATGATTTAAAACTTCTTTATCAAAATCATTTTATTGCAATATAATATATAATCCATTTTCTTTTAAACTATAAAATTTTGAGAAAAGGGGAGCAATTAATTACATTCTTTTAATTTATTTAATTTATGAATAGGAGTTATACAAAAGGCTCTCCCGCAATATTAGTTTAGCGATGCACATCAGTTGCTGTCTTATGCCTTGGAAAGTTCT